TTATAAGCTGAAGTTTTTTTAATTTCAATATATGTGAATACAAATGACAAATAACCGTAATAGAAACTCAAATTGAACATTACACTATGCAGTATAAGCACCCTAAATAACTGATTGAGCTTCACAGCAAGTAAATCAGCAGTGTTTCCTACTGGACTATTTGCTACAGTGCATAAGACAAAACAAACTTTATCTTTAAACCCCACTGTTTATGCAGTCTTAGCTGCATACATTATTTCATTTTCAATCAGATGTGACAGCACAGTGTGTTTATCAAGCGCTTATCTGATGCTATGTTCATTGAAGTTTAATCACACACAAGAGGCTCCTGTATGATCTTACAGACTATTAACAGAGCAGGAGAAACTGAGTTATAAATTAAACACTTTGCAATAAATTAAGTTTAATCATTAGATCTCTCTACAGGGGATGTGCAGAGAGACTGTGTAGGTCACATGCAGGGAAGGTGTGACAAGGGCTGCATAAACAAAGTGATTTAACTCCTAAATGGCAGAGTTGTGCAGTGAGACTGCAGGAGAATGACCTATACAACAAAACTGTATCATTAAGCTAAAGTTCTCTTGGTGCTTATAATGTCCCTTTAAGTGTTACTAAGTAAAGCAAGAATGTGACCGTTGTGATTGCCCTATTTTCCACTATAAAGTCTTAAAGCATAGAATTTAGCAGAGCTTACCATACAGATATGTTAGCTATAATATTATATAGTTAGTAAGAGTTCCTCTATTTAAAATATATACATAATTGATAATATTATAAAATATAGGGATTGTCTTGGAAGCAATAAGGTTTGTATTTTAATTTTTCTTATTAAAATGTAAATAAATATAGACATATAAAAACGTAACAATCCATTATAATAGTTTACAGCAGAGGCTTGTTTTCCTGGCACTGTAGTTTTCCCTTTAAGGTTGGACATGATGTAAGCAAGGCCCTGACTTGGTATCACATTAACATAGGACAAGATGGCGTCTTAAAGTCTAAACGTCATATTCACTTACTCTGAATAGGAGGTCATTTATTAAAGAAACGAGAATCAATATGTTCCATTTCTAACAACTTGTCAGTTTGCAAAATCTCTTAAAGACAAAGCACAAGGTTTAAGAAATACAACTTTTCATTCTAAAAACTTGTAGTATTTAATAATGTCCATAACAGCAACAATTATAGGTAAACATTAAACTGGTACTACATGTCTCACAAAATAATGTGAGTTTGTGTAAATCTTTTTTTCCGATGGTGGAAAATCTCATTCAACTAATTTTCCATAGGTTTATTTACGTCACAGTGTCTATTAACATTTATTCTTGTGCATTCAACTCAAACCACATTTAACACATAAAGTCTTAAAGGGATTCATACACAAGAATCAAATGTCAATGGACTGAAAAGTATTTGCTAATTTCATGCAAACATAGCTTTAGATTAGAGCAATATATCTTTGTTTTTCCCCATTATTTTGGCCTTAAAAGAGTAAGGCCAGGGAATGCAAAGCATATAAAGCATCGATTTCTTTAAGAAATCAACACTTTTATTTATAGAATTAGAAATGCCTCCCTGGCTGTCAGCCAATCAGCTAGTTAGGTTCACTCCCTCTTCTGCTAGCTCCACTGAACTAATGGAAGTGATGCACACACTCTACTTTAGCACACCTGCCTTCTCCCCCAGTGAATGTTGGGCCCTTTACCCTGGTCATGCGCTCACCTACACAGACACCATCTCAGATCAGTGTCCTTCCTGACTCCAGTTGGCAAGTCTGTCAGCAGATGCATGTGCAGAGATGGCATAGAATCAAAGGCTTCTCAAGTTTCTGTGAGGGAAAAAGAGGAGGGATTGCAAAGGCTGCAGATATAAGAACTGCAGCTTTTGCAAACTCTTCTTAGATACTGAGTAGAATGCTCTCCCCAGCTGTTCCCACCTCCTATAACCTCCGATCCAGTACTAGCACGATATTTAGCATACCGCAATACAAAAATAAAGTGGCACGATCCTCATTTTCCTACAGAGCACCGCAATTATGGAATAACCTCAGGGACACAGTCAAATCTTCATTCAATCTAAAATCATTTAAAAGATCTATGGCAATATACCTCAGCACCTATCATGGTTGAATATATTTATTACCAGCTTTTTATTAAATTTATATATGTGTGTATATATAGTTTGTATATTGCATTTTTATAATATTGTATCCTATTGTAACCATGCAATGTTTTGTGGACCCAGAACATACTTGAAAACAAGAGAAACATGGGAGACATGGAGACACTGGGAGACATGGGGACACAGACATTTGGGGACACTGGGAGAAATGGGGTCACACAGACACTAGGGACACAAAGACATGGGGACACGGTGTGGTCCATGCACTTTGTGTCCATACACTTAGGGCCACCCGATAGGTATTATTGCTGAACAGGGGCCCAGTCAGGTGCTGCCGCCTTTTAAGAGCGCGACTGGGCCCCTGTAGTACCAGATGTAGAGAGGAAGTGATAGCCGGTCACTTTGTCCCAGATAGAGATCACCGTACTGAATGGAGAGAGGCAACAGCGGAGAGTGAGCTGCTGCAGACCCTTCACAGCACCCCAAATCTTGGGCTGGTTCTTGGCATCCCCTCTATGTGCCCCCCGCATACCATGCTTGTGAAGGAGTACACAATATGTATACCTCTGACTGTAGAGGAGGTAAGTGACCCTGCTTTCTGGACTACAAAGGGTAAATGCTGTACCGGGGAGGGAGAGGGTTTAAATAATTGACTGCTGAGTTGAGATCTAGTAACCCATGCAGTGGTGCTGGTGATTGTATATGATTTTCTGGCCAATATGATTTTCTTCTGGTGCTATTAACCCATTCATTGCTAGGCACTTTCGCCAGTGAGCACAGTCCACTCTGTACTGCATCATTTCCCACATTCCATTAATGTGGCATTTTCTATTGTCTGTAACCCATCCAGGCTTGACTGTTTTCCCCTAAGGACATTAACCCATTCAGCTCAGTAATGGATAATCTGACATGTCATACTGATTTCCTTTTATTTCAGTATCTTTGTCTAGGCTGAATCATCCAAGTTCCTCTGTCGCCAGTAACCTATTCAATGTTGGATGATTTTAATTATTTTTTTGGCAGTAACCCATACAATACTGGATAGATAACATGACTGTCTTTAGTTCCAATAACACATGCATTGCTGGGAGATCCTCTAACCTCACTATCCAGTATAATCTGGTTTATTACAAAGATTCACACTGCTGTATATATCCTAACATTACGTCGTGCTCCACTTTACTCCACTCCTTATAGTATAAGCTCCTTTTAGCAGGGCTCTCTACACATGTGTGTCCAAGCAGAATCTGTGCAAGTATCTGTGCAAGTATCTGTGCAAAAATTTGTGCAAGAATTTGTGAGTATCTGTGTGTCATTGTGTCTCTCGATGTGTTACTGTTGTATCTGAGCATCAATGTATTTGTGTGTCAGTGTGTGTATCTTACTGTGTGTGTATCTCTGTGTGTGTGGATTTGTATCTGTGTATGTATGTGCCAGTGTATGTATCTGTGTGTCAGTGTGTTACTGAGTATGTGTGTATGTGCCAGTGGGTGTTCCTGTGTGTCAGTGTGTGTCTCTATGTGTTACTGTGTGTATCGGAGCATCAGTGTGTGTATGTGTGTGTCAGTGTGTGTTTATTAGTGTGTGTGTATCTCTCTCTGTGTGTGTATGTATCTGAGTGTTTATGTGACTGTGTGTATCCATGTGTCAGTGAGTGTATCTGGGTGTCATTGTGTATATGTGAGTGTGTGTGTATATGTGTGTATGTGCCAGTGTGTGTATCTACGTGTAAATGTGTGTAACTGAGTGTGTATATATGTATACATATATACACACTTACCTTTTTGTGTCATTTTACCCCACTCCCTCTAGCATGTAAGCTCATTGAGCAGGGCCATCAACCCCTTTGTTCCTGTGTGTCCAACTTGTCTGGTTACAACTACATGTCTATTTGTCCATCCATTGTAAAGCGCTGTGGAATTTGACGGCGCTCTATAAATATCATAATAATAATAATAATAATAATAATAATAATAATAATATGTATCTGTGTGTGTATGTGCTAGTGTGTGTATCTGTGTGTCAGTGTGTGTATCTGAGTATGTGTGTATGTGTGTGTGTGTATCCATGTGTTAGTGTGTGTATCTGTGTGTCACTCTGTGTATGTGAGTGTGTTTGTGTATATGTGTGTCAGTGTATGTATGTGTCAGTGTGTGTATCTGTCAGTATGTGTGTATCTGTGTGTCAAGATGTGTGTATGTGTCAATGTGTTTAAATGTGTATGTATAGCTGTATAAGTATGTATATATGTGGCAGTGTGTGTGCATACATCCCAGCAATCAAACACCAATAGAACATGCAAACACGCTAGTGCAAACACAAACATTACATACAAAAACACCACTGAATTCAAAATCCACATTTATATTCAAACACATCCTTCACTCAAACAACATTACTACACACAAATGTACATCTACATCTAAAAGCCAACATTACATGCAAACACTCCCCTGCAAGCAAATGCAAACATTACATGCAAACACACCCCTTCATTAAACAGTTAAAATGATATACAAACACCAATTCTACACACAAAAGCACACCTGCTCCAAAGTACTAGACTCGGTTTACTATCTGTAGAAATTATCTATATGTATATATGCAAAAAAACAACATTTGCTAAAAAAAAGAAATGATTACACTGCTAATTAAATGGTTTGCGCTATGGGGCAAACAATTTTCCACAATGTTGGTAAAGTCAAAAGGATCCACAGGAAACATATTATTGGGAACCCCTCCTCTAGTGTGTTCCTTTAATAGATACCAGCTTTCCATTTTTGGAGGTCTCTTTGTTATTTACTGTCTTTTTCTGAATACTTGTTCCTCTCCATGATTGACCCCCAACCTTTAAAATTAAAATTAAAATGTAATATTTCTTCCTATCTATTTACCATATGTATGAATACTCTTAAAAATGTATCAATAAAAATCACACAGCCCAAATTTATAAATAAGCAACCACTATCATATTTATTTCTTTAAAAAAATAAGAGCACAGATGTTTTCGTGTCTCCATTACAAGTGGAAAATATAAAATGATTTCTCGTCATAGACCGTACATTTGGAATAATGTTAATTTAAGACCACACAGATTGACAATATTAGTATTTAGTTATGCTAAAAAATAAAAACAAATCCCTTCTACAATTCTGTCTTGAGGAGTTTCTGAGCTTTCTTCATGTTTTCATATACTAAAAAAGAAATTAAGAAACAAACAGTCAAATAAATATGTAAAACAAACACCAAGCCTTATTTTGGATTAATACATAGCATGGTATAAAGAAAAATCATTCTTTAGCCTTGACTGGGTTATCTTAATAAGAATTACACGGCCATTCTGTTATGGAATCCACAAATTGTGCATACAAGTCAAATTATGCCGTATCACTTCAGGATGATAGAAATATTTTGTTACTAAATGTCATTGCTTTGGGGATTACCCCAGTTTTATATTATTAAAAATAATTAAAATCAGTGAACATATCTGGCAATCTGAAGATAGCAAGTGACTTTTATTCAATGCTTCTGCCAACACAATGCCTTCCTAAATTTGCCTGTCTTGTGTTTAACATCTTTATTTTTTTTTAAATCACTTTGTGCCCTCGAGTAGAAGGTGATTTGCCTATTTGATTTAAACTGGAGGAATATTCAGAACCCTAAGCACTTGATTGCTAGTTCCGAGAATCTGTTATCTAGGTGTAGTATAGTCAGTCATGTTTAACCCCTTAAGGACACATGACATGTGTGACATGTCATGATTCCCTTTTATTCCAGAAGTTTGGTCCTTAAGAAAATGCAATTCAGATAGTGCTGCAATTCATCAGAAAACAATTGTGTCATTTTATTGGTTAAATGAAATGTCGCCTGTTATTGACCGCGTGATATTTTTTTGTTGCTTCCTGTGAAATGGTTTATCTTTTTGTGCCAGTAATTACAATAAATAAAGTTATTTGACTAAGAAAGACACATTGATAGCAGCAAACACAGAACGTGGAATCTTAAATAATGAACAACTAGTTACATATTGAATATGTTAGTAGTGCTGGTCCTGTCCTTGTTTATGTTTTCAATAACCTGATATGTACACTGGATGATATGCATTACTTACATAGATCAATATCGGTTGGCTCATAAGTGTAGCGATGGTTTGAATATTTGCCAGGGAGATCTGCTCTTACAACAAGGGAAGGATCTGTTTAAAGAAATATTCAGAATTAACAGAAAGTGACGATTCACTGACACTGTTTTCAATAGATGTATGTAATTAAATTGTTAGCTCGTGTATCTTTATTTAAACATTGACCCCATAGAAAGCTTTGGGTGCTTCTCCTGTACCTAAAACCACTAATTTCAGACCTACTGGCTAGGCTTTAATATCACTTACCAATAAAAACGACCTTTGGAACATACTGGCCATCGAGTAACAGATTCTTGTCTGTAGGATCATACTAAAATGAAATAAAAAAATGTAGTTAAGTGAAATGTACAAATGTTGTATGATAAATATATTTACATAATGTGTGTATACACAGGATTGGTTTAATTTTGCATTACTTTGCATAATAAAATGTATATACATTATGTAATTAAATTATTCTTAACGTTCTAACTTTTCTATGTATTAATTGATACAAAAAAATGGCAATAATATAATGTTAGGGTTAGGTATATTTAAGATTGGATATCCTTCTTGGTCTCATGGGGTTTAGAATATGGGTTGGTCTAGTAGTCATTATAATTAGAGATAGGGGTGGTTAGGAGGTATTTAGGATTAGATGGCATTTGAAGCCGGGACTTAATGTTAAGGAGGATTTAACGTGCCTAGAAAGTTCTAACATGAAGTAGTCAGATTTCAAAGGACAGGAAGAGAAAGAGGAGAAAACATAAATAAGATCTCCTAACCATCAGTTTATTCCATGATTCTAAATGCGACTCTTAGTATAGATACTCACAATGACATTAAGGAGCACGAAAAGTTCAGCAAGTTTCTGAATGCCTTTATGTTCAGCAAATGCTTTCTTCAGAGCTGTAAGATAGAGTTAATGGTCAGTTTGCAATAGGCTTACAACATTATATATTATTACAAATTAAAATATGTTTGCTTACAAAGCTTCTATTAATAAATATCACAGAAATTAAAGGAAGACTACAGCATTAGGAATGCAAACATATATTTAAAACACAATAGTGTTCTCCTACCTGGTTAGGGGTGTCTCCCCCCCACCCCCCACCCCCCTTATACAACACACACTCCGTCAAGCATTTTAAAAGGGAGTTTTATTCACTTTTCTTTCCTCTCCACAGCCGCTTCAACTCCTTGGCTGAGATCTATAAGATTAATGATCTTAACCAATCCAATACTTCTCCATAGGGACGCACTGGAAGCTAATGTGAATGCACAGCAAATTGCCCTCCGAGCCAATAAAATGCTCTCTATGAGCCTCTAGTGGCTATCAGTATGACGGCCACTAGAGGTGTGTTTAAACCTGTAATGGAAGCATTACAGTTTCTACAAACCTACAATGTATTGCTTTGCAGGGTTAAAACCAAAGGGCCACTGCACCCAGACCACTTCATTTAGATTAAGTGGTCTGGGTATCTAAAGTGGTCCTTTAATGTCTTAATATAGTATCCATACACTTTTGTAGTTTAAACATTGTTTTATGGCTGTGAAATGTATATATTTCTTTCTATATAGGTAAAAGCATATTAATTCCTTTTCAACATTAATATTTTATTTTAAGTAAGTGCATATGATTATATTAGCCATATAACATTTCAGGACATGGCTAACTATTTTCTCTTATCCAAGACAAGGAAAGTCTCTTACCTTGAGAATGGGGGCAGTCCTCTCTGTGATTGATAACCATCAATGGTTTATTTCTGGAAATTAAAATATACAGCTTATTATTGCTCATTTCAATTTAGAACGTCTTTGTATAATATGTGTTGGCTTATTGTCTTAATAAATACAGTACAGATATGTTGAATTTGAATTCTTTACGAACCTTTTATTTGAGTGCTCTCCCCATACTAATAATTTTATACTATATGGGTACTCGGTGTACAGAAAATTAGCTGTGAGTGTATTGCTTTTCTAATTTAAAAATATATAATTGTGCTAACAATTTGTGCTACCTCTTCTAATTTGCTAGAATGCTAAAGTAAGGTACTGTGAGTTTAAAGGTACTATGCTAAGGAAATAATATTTAAATGAGTGCTTGTCAGTAGAAAACCCATGTGTTTTATTTTAGTAACAAGGTTTCCTATACATTTAGATTGCTGAACACAAAGGAGCTATACCTAAATCTATTTTGCATGTTTTTTTTGTTTTTAATTTTATTTTTTTAACCACTTCCATCTCTGTGTATGAGGTCAACCTTTTGAAGACTGTCATCTCAAAAAAGTACAGAAGATGGCGCCATTGGTTCAATAGATATGTGGTAGTGTATAGTTATTACTGGAATGCATTGTCTACTTACCCGGACTTGGCTTTATACAAGGCCTCTTCGTATGTCTGCACCCAGTCAAGGCTATCACCCCACCCTGCAAGAAGAAAGCCAAAGTAAATTATTTAACAATCAGGTGTTGACAGGTTTCTACACATTGCAAACTGTGGCATGCCTTAGGAGGTCACCCTGGAGTTGAACTCACCCAGCTTCCTTTTAAAGAAGGGTGTATGAATGCAACAGAGTGCAGTTATTAAAAATAAAATTACAACTTCACTCTAAGAACTGTAATTACTACAGCTAATGGTAGAGGCTACGGTGCAAGGAATACGTATGAAGTAACTATGCTTTTTGTCAACTGTAGCCATTGATTTAAAAAGAAAAGGAAAAAACCCATGAGAATTCCAGAGCATCTAAGGCCCTCTCCTAAATATGGGACAACATTGTCCACCCATTGCTCAATGCTGCAGAACATGCTTGTTCTCTATAATAATAATATACTAATGATGATATTGGGCATTTTTTTAAGCTTCTTTAATATGTTTTCAAAATATTTCTGTGGGTAGGTGGAAAATGGTGCTTCTGTCTCAGTCCTTTCGGCACCCACAAATTAATATAGGCGCCAAGGCCTGCGTCTATCCAGAATACAGTATGCAAAGTAATTGTGGTAATAGTAGTAAAGCTAGACCTGGGATAAAGGGTAGGTCATACCGTAGGGAGCTAATTTACATTTACAGTAAAGGGTAGGAATAAGGAAGTAGATCATGTATGAAGATAGTACACAGATAAAAAAAACATAGCTAACAGAGGGTAGAATGGGGCTCACATCCCTAGTTAGAAGCTGGTATGTGTTAGTTTATGCATACTTTCAGCAGGGATCAGAATGGAAAACAGCACGTTTTCTGTTTCTAGTAAATGAAGTAGGGAGTGGTGGCATAACTTGACGTAACTATATTTGTGAGACAGTGAGAGAAAAAAAGTAAAATAAAAAAACAAAAAACAAAGAATGTATTATGTAGTTCACACACAGAACCACTTGAATACAAAGGAGCTGATGCACATAGGCTTCAGACTGTAGGACATCGTTTTTATATAGCTTGAAAAAGGTGTGGAATGTAGCTTATTCACTGAGGTAGTAGCAGAAAGAATTAGGTCTTGCATGTTGGTAGTAGAGAAAAGAACGTTGTAGAAGAGAGCAGGAAATAGTTTATCCAGAAAGAAAATATAGGGGTTGAGATAGTTTGTGCAAGTAGCAGTAGAGAGCGAAAGCTAGCTTGTGCGGCCAAGAACATACAATGGTTAGTTCATGTTACCTTGGGTCATGCTTCCATCTCAGTTTAGAGCACTCAGGGTAACACACAAGAATATTTAGTATCAGAAAATGACAATTAGTGTAAGGACTTACCTCTAGAGAGGGTTTGCGGTTTGGCTGTAGCTTTCTCGTCCTTGGCTAGAGTGAAGGAGGTAGCCACCAGGAGAACAAACACTGACTTCAGAATTTTCTCCATGATAAGATCTGAAAGAATTAACACATTTACTATCTTGATTTCTGATCCTGGATATTATCGAGGATGTGAGTCCGTAATTGCAAGTTACATACATACCCTAGCCATATATCCACAAGAACATGTAGATCAGGTGCGGTCAAAAGGTGGACCAACTACAGCCTCCATGAGACATGTAAGTTGTAGTTTAACCCCATAAGGACCAAACTTCTGGAATAAAAGGGAATCATGACATGTCACACATGTCATGTGTCCTTAAGGGGTTAAACAAAAGTTAGGGATCTCCCTTTTGGGCACCCCTGCTCTGGATGTATGCAACTTAGACATGCAAAGGAGAAATCTCTCCCACCAATATTTAACCAGTATTTGTACTAATGCAAAGTTACACATTCAGGCCATTATATTGAATTAATAATTTGTTACTTGATTGCAAAAGAGATGCAAACATGCATAAGATCCAAAGTTATTTGCATGGCAAATATCTATTTTTTATATAAGGGACATCAAGATAACATCTCAAAATAATACAGCATTGATTTCAAATTACTTTCAGCTGTAATTCAAATAATTTACCTGTGATTTTTAAATAAACTTAATTTATTAAAATTGAAATCAAATTTCAATAACAATTAAAATATCCCTTCTCCCCACCTTTACTGTTTTCTTCTCCCCCACTGCATGGATCTTCCATGGTCGCTACAGAGTTCTACTAAAAGCTGATAGCTGAACTACATATCCCATAAACCCCTTCACAAAATACCTTTATAAATATGCACAAAGCACTCACAAAAAGCTGGGGCAGTCTCAGAATTAAGTTAGTGAGATTTTAGCCACTACCTAGTCTGGTGAGCACTCGCTGCAGAAGACACAGATCATGTGGCGTTGCAGCAAAGACATTTTTACTTTTATATCAGTTTTTCTTTTTTTGCATAATATGTACTCTGATTGAAAATTCTATTCCCTAGACAGGGTAAATTCTAATTTCCATAAATAGATCACAAATGCCTGTATACGTTAACAGGGATAGGCCTCAGTGCTAGTTACTTATTAAAACCATTGATCTAAATCAGGACTATTTCTGCACATTTCCTTGTTGGCTATTTCTAAACAGAAACTGTATACCAGTATTGAGAGCTGCAAACGTTATACGTTTATCACTGCACACTACAACAACTTTTCAAAATGAACCCACATTCCTCCCTTTAATATCTGTATAAACGAGTACAATATTTAAACATATTTCATGCATTGTCACAATTGAGCGCAAATAAAAAACATAAAATCTTATACGCCACAAGTATTTGCTTGCATTTAAAACATAATTGTGCCAGAAAAACTGCAAGTAAACAGATCAAAGGAAAATAGAACCATCAAGTAATACCTAAACAGTAGCTAATTCATCATGACAGCATGGCACTATTGTTTTTTGCCCAAATACATAACATAGAGCTAGTAGATTTAAAAAAAAAAAAAAAAAAGGAAAATATAATAGATTAGTAAAATGAACTAAAAAGATACAATGATCTCTTTGTATAACCTTTCTCTGTCAAAAATTCCTTTTCCCTTGAAATGGTTACTTGGTTAGTTTCATGTAACCCAATCCTAAGTAGCAGAGATTGAAATGCTGCAGAGCCAACTCACCTTCACTCCAGGTAGGGAAGGATTGCAGGTGCAGTGAGTGTAAATACTAGAGTTTCCCATCCTGTATATATACACCTGTGCACACCTGGGCTCCGCCCACTCCCATCACTGTGCCTCGTCAGAATGCATACCTTTACAGTCTCATTTGTACTATAATCTTCTTAAGAAATTATGAATACAGAATCCACTCCCTCCAAGCTGATAGCTATCGTGTAACATTTTCTGTGACTCCCTATACTTTTCAGCTAATGCTCTGTCTTATCACATTTTTTTTTATTACCACTAATTGGGCACTGGCCCAAGTACAGGTAAGCTCAATGGGGAATCGTGATTTGCCTGAAGGCTGATTTGTCTGTGTGTGATTGGATAAAGAAGCTACCTTCTGTATTTAGTTGCGAGAAAGTAAATGTGGCAGCCCTACCTTAGAATAACTGAACCAACTGGTTTGCTTTTTACCATGTTTTTTTTTTTTCTTTTATCTGATAACTGTATCATTTGGGACAATCATATGAACTGGTTTTAGGCAGATTGTAAAGATATCCTTTTAGGGATACATGTTTTTAATTGTCAAAAGTTTTTTTCACAAAATGGTTAAAAAAAAATGAATGGAAAACTGCATTGCAAACTTCCGAATAATAAATAACAAAGCTTTGACAATTGTTTTTTAAATTAGTTATTATAGCCTAAATTTGGAATTTTGTTTATATTTTTTTCCTTATTTAAATAGCACCAACAAATATACACTTACCTTATTTTTCTGTGCACAAGACTATGTTTTTTTCTATATTTTTTTTTAGTCTAAAACTGGGGGTTGTCTTGAAATGTCACTGCAGAGGGTTAAAAAAAACAACACTTGTGCGCGGGGCCTGACAGCCAACCAAGGTAGTCGCATGTGGCTGGAGCTCCTTTAAAATTCTAATTATTAAGCCAAATACTTACGGTACTTACTCAGCACAATTTGGGCACAAAACGTGGCTACTCGCTGACAGAACACTCAGCTGACTGTTGGGTTCGCTCCTGCCAGGTTCCTGCGGGCATAGGCTGTGTTGTACTCCTCTGCGACCTGCTGACATACTTGAAACAGAGGAGCACTTCTCCATGAATTTGATAGATTGTGTGAGCGGGTCTGTGATATCTTGCGCTACCGCATGCTTCTTTGCAGTACTCACGGCTCGGCCCCAGACTACAGATAGACTAGAGGCCTTGTCTGTACATCCCCCATTGGGTACCGCGGGCAGAGGACATCGTTGCATCCAACAGCAGGACCGCGGTCCAGGGAATCAATAGGGGAGCGGCCTACTGGAGTGTGAGGGGGCCTGCGACTGGTGGGGGACCCTGATCAGCCAAACTGGACTTCAGTGCTATAGATGTTAAAAATATGTATTTCTTAATTTTGGATTTAAAAAATAGGGGTTGTCTTACACATGGAAAAATATGGTACTTTACAGTTGACCTTACAGTATATTGGAGATATGTACATGTTAGAAGGTTTTTGGCAATTAGAACTTGCAATATAAATCAGTCAAAATGCATTGATTGGCTATGGCTATCATTACTACTGACTCTTATCATAAATGAGTCTATTTACTGAACTTGGAATGGCTTTGTACCTTTGGACAGTACTTTGGTTCAGAGTATTTTCCAATGTCCAGATTTTGAGGTTCTGGCTCCGAATAAGCTAGAATGGTATCCAGATTTCAGTCTGTCTGAACGCTACACTGGAAATATCCAGATAATATACTTTATATTGGATTCTGATACAAAAAGCACTGATTTTAAAGTTGACACAGAATACATTTGATCTAATTGTGCAGATATGGTGAGGAGAAACCCATTTCAAGCAGATCTGGCTTTAGTAAATATGAAAATTGACAATCCTGTCTAAGACAAAATTTGGTGTTTAGTGTATAAACCCTACGTCTTCACGAGAGGTTGAGAATTGTTTTTGAAAATGTGAATTTCCTTTTTTCAATTTTGTGTGTTCTGTTCATTGCTCGGTCCTATCTATCATCCATTATAACCAGAATACTATAGGCTAGAATCAGGTAATCTATTTTTCTCCATCACATTGTGTTGTAGATTTTGCTTTGTGTGTGTGTTTCATTTAGTTAAAACTGTAGTTGAGAATTGACTTGCAAAATGCAGGCCAACATAGCAGAATCAGAAATAGGACGCATTTTCAACTTATCTCTTTATATCTCAAATCTTTATTAAGGCGTGAACATAGGTACGACAGATTAACATTGCAGTAATGGCTAGTGTGAGACTCGCAGGTCTCCTAGCTGTGAGGTAGCGATGTAATGAGACATGAACAATGCAATAATTAATTATTCAGATGTTACATACATTGCGATAACATAGCAATGAATAGGATTTAAGTAATTGTAGTTGTATCAGAGTGTGACCTGAATCACGTGAACTTTCCCTAAGGCCGGATCTTATATGGTTCCCGACTGTGGGGTACTCCACCTGTGTATCTCTTTGGTCGGGTGGGCCTATTATGATGGGTGTCACTACCTTCCCTGCGGCTCAACGGTGTGTTTAATTTATGTGAGTGTGCCGTTGTTGGCTGCGTGTGCTGTGATTTCGTAGGAATTTGGAAGGTTTTCTGTGTGTGGTACATGTTGTAGCTAGGGGGTACTGGTTATTCAAGAGTGCGTCACAGCTAATTCCCTTATCACCTATGTCGCTTCAGAATTAGATTCCTGGGTACGGTTTGGAATGTCCCCTTTATACGTGTTCAAGTAATGTCTTTAGACAGTTGTCACTCAATAGGTTTACTTAAGAGTGATTGGTGCTGCATTGTCCTAGCACCAGATTTTAATGGTTGAATGAAAACAACTACTACCTTTTTGAAAACCTTTAACTTTTTTTGTAAATTATTTAATACTGCAGACATTTTTATGTCATACAATACAATTTGAGATCATAAATATAACTGTGATATATACTTTCTAACATGCATTGCTATGATCATCCAGTTAAATATCCAGTGTGTTCATACAGTTTTTATTCATCAATATTGTTAGAAAAGGCAATAATGAACAGAAACAAAAAGGAAACGACAATGGAGGTCAGGCAAGAAAGAAAGCCATTTATAGGAGATCCCTCCTCCATCTTTTCACTCCAGTGCCATGGGGACAATATGTCGTAGCCATTTTCATGCAAGAATAGGGAGAAAGCAGGCTGTAAAATCATATGGATATTTTTCTGTGGTGCAAGTAATGGCTGCAGCAACATTCTTATAGAAAGAGTAAAACACCATCGCTCATGTATTGCAATAATGACTTTATTTTGTTGCACCAACAGCCTGGTTGACCAGCACAACTCATTATAGGCCAGATTTCATGCTCTATACAGGTCTGGAGAATTAACAAATGACTTGCAAATTTCACTTCAAATCTCTAGATTTTGCTTTCATTTTGCAAGCTAGCTCATTATTTTCTGAACAGAGTCCTGGCATCAAGTTGTGTAATCCAATTAAATACATTCGAAAATCGTTCTGACACATCAACATACATTCAGGTACCAGGAGACAGATATCTCACACTGTAGTAAACCTCAGTATTATAAAACTTTCATGTATCCACCAGATAAATGTTTCTAATTTAGTCCAATAACAAAGAGCTTTCTAAATAGTACGATGAATTAATCATTATCTATGAATGGGGAAAAAAAGATGATTGATAGTTAGAGGACAGCCAATAACTGTTGATTTTATTCACAGATCAAGTGGTGGTAAAATGTATTTCCCATTTCCCGAATTTCCATTTTTGCACCCCTTTGTATCTGGAAAATCTAATGAATAATAATTTAGTTTTTAGTTGTTAGAGGCAGCCAGATAATTGGTTAATGTTTTTATTTTGCTGTTAGTGGAGGGCATTAATTATATGTATGGAAAGCACACTCCAAGCAGCATAATCACTACAATAAGCTGAAAGGAGACTTTGGGTGTAATCTCTCTGGTTTTTGTCAAATAATTTTCAGGTGGTTTGATAAAAGCAGGATCATGCCGACACCCAAAGTCTACTCTCTGCTTCCAATGTGATAGTGATCAAGTTTAATTCCTCTATTATTTTGCCCAGTATTTGTACTGAACAGAAGGATTTGGATTTGGCCAATCTCCATTAATACCAAATTGAGACAGACTCCCACAGAATCTCACATGAATCTGACTGCAACAACAATACCAGCAGTTTGCATTAACCCTAATATGTTAACCCTTAACTTGATGCAGACTTCACTCCTTCACAATAAAATCGATAAATTGTAATTCAATTTTGTTTATTATGTCTGCCACACACCACACACATAAGAGTTGTCACGTTGTCCATGCATTCCCCCTAATTTATTGTTCCAGTGCTCTATAATATTACATATATGTCACATTGCCCTCTACACACACACACGCACGCATGCACACACACAGACACACACACACACACAAAAAATATTTTAATAATTTGTTTCATTTTTTTTTTACTAACCCAGATGTTGAACCTTGTCATGTAACTCTTGGTGAAATATGTTCTGTGTACAAACTATATTGTTGCTTCTAGTATTGACTTTGCAGCTCAGACGGGTAATACACTGAAGATTGTGTGAAACTGTAACATTGTCTTGTGTATTTAGTACAAACTAATTTCTACACCTGTTCAAATATTTTTTTAAAGCCAATTAAAAGATTAAGTTACTTTGCAAATGTAACTATAATAGAAAAGTGTTCACATATTCTGTTTCGATATATATTTTGTCTCTGCGATAAAAATAGCAATGGGGAGTGCAGGAACCCGAGGTCTGCCTTCAAATTGGCAGGTAAGCTTATACTCAATGTCCGTAACAATGGTGCATATAGTGGCTGAGATTGTGCATCAGTAACATTTTTGTTTGGTTTATTTATACACTGAAGCTAAATACTGTAGTCCAGGGGAAGGTAACCTACAGCACTCCAGATATGGTGGACTACATCTCCCATAGCGCTCTTAGAGCCATTATGCTGGCAAAGCATCAAGTGCCTTTAGCTGACAGCAGCCACAATTATTTAGTCCAGGTCTCAGCTGTTGTTTTTGTCTTGATGTTGGTGGGCAAACTTACTTCATACCCAAATTTTAGTACTAACTTATTTTTGGGGGAGTTCAGGATGTTGCACATGTATTTTTTATTTATTTTTATTAGTTTTGTCTGCAAATATAACATAAAAGTATGTATGTACTTTTGCTATTTGACAACTGTTAAATAAAAAAATAAATAAAAAAAAATCTGAAGTCATTAAACCAAATGTTTTAGCCTGGAGCATTTGTAATGAATAGGACATGTGTAGTATTATTAATGTGAACAAGTGTTCCGTGGCTCATGTTCAAAATGTCTTCATTGTGATTTATTTGTTATTTCTTTATGTCTTTCTCTGTGTCCCTTCACTAAACAGCCATGTGGTGTTTTTGAGGATAGAGTAACATCGTTCCATCGTTGGAAAAATAGCATAACATTCCACAGAGTTATCGAATTTCTTTGAAACAATTTAGTATATCTTTTTATTGGGTTGGAATTTCAGTGAATTTCCATCACGCTCAATCTGAGTATTTCAAGATTCTATGAAATGCTCATTTTGTCCAGAGGGGTGACCGTGCCCCTTTAATCATCTCTAGTATGTTTTTTTTTTTTTTTCACCTGTAAGCAAGTAAATAATTGTACTACAACTCCCAGAAACAACTGCTACAAAGCACTGCTAATAGAAAAGCTCAGCATTATTACATAAAGTTAAACGGACACTATAGTCACCAAAACAACTTTAGCTAAATGATAATGTTTTGGTGTATAGATCATGCCTCTGAAGTTTCATTTCCCAATTCACTGTCATTTAGAAGTTAAACCACTTTTGTTTTTGTTTATACAGCTCTAGTCACACCTTCCCTGGCTCTGACTGACCCAACCTGCATGAAAAAAAAACAGGGTTTCATTTTTAATCAGATGTAACTTACTTTAAAAAATATTGTATCTCCTGCTCTGTAAATTGAACTTTAATTACATACCGGGTTTAGTGAGCTATTAACAGAGTGGGAAATAAGACATTTTAAATTAAACAGAATTTGCAATACAGGAAGTATAAACATTAGATGACTTTTTATACTGTTTACAGGAAGTGTTTAGGAAGGCTGTGTGATTGGGCGTACTGTACTGCAAATCCAGAACAGTCTGAGACAGGTTGGTCACTTGCTGAGCAAGGGAGGTAAGCATCTTGCAGGGTATTACCTGGGATGAAGTCTAAAGTGCAGAGATGTTCGCTCACCCTTGCAGATAAACACGACTCACGGTAACCAGGTAAGAAGCTACCTGGGCTGTGAATCTGTGCACTGTGGCTTAGACAGGAATGGATCTCCATTACGCAGTGCAGGCAAAGGTACAGGCAGAAGGATAGCAGGCCTAGGACATCGAAGGACCCAGGAACAAATCCCCTTAGAGCCACCTGGGGGTGGCCACGCCTGGCTGTCTGGTTGTCACGGGGAGAACCTTGACAGTGAGTCTGTCGGTGAATGTGAGTGTGTGTGTAACTTTGAATGAGTGAGTATGTATGTCTGTGAATGTGTATGTTTCAGTGAAAGTGTGTATTGGTTAAACAGTGTGTGTGACAATGACTGTGTATCTGTAAATGAGTGTATGTCAGTGAATGCATCAGTGTGTCTGTCAGGAAGATAAATTTGGAGGGCGAGGGTGCCTGAATTTTGTCATGCCTAGGGCAGCACAAAACCAGAATACACCGCTGACTATCTGTGTACAGCAAATGGCAGCATAACTAAAAGTATCCTACTTACAATTGTGCTCACAATTTAAGCAGTGTTATCCCCACCAAGGATATATAGAAGAACAGCTAATCCCAGTATTTCTGTAAATTAAATCCAGTTGACAGTCAGGAACAAATCATTGGCTCTCCCCAAGTTAAAAGGGTAATACAGACATGGACCCCATGCTCACTGGGCCTACAGGGGTATCAGCTACACCTCACTGATAATGCCCAAAGAAGGACAAAATATTTGTCTGGTGTTCCTGTATTTCTCGTGCAGAGGGAACTTTCTGGCATTTCAGTTCTGGACTGCCTATTCGGATGGGACTAGTCTGATATTCTTCAGATATGTTCTCTCTGTAATGGCACAAGTGAGCAAAAATTATTTTGAGACCTGAGCGGGGATGTACCGAAGGGCAAGCTATCAAGTTTTCGTAAGCTTTTGTCATTGTCAGATTTCTTATATTCTTTGTTTTTGCTATATAATATATAAATACAGTATATATTTATTTTAACTTCTCCTCCTTTTCTCTCTCTCTTGGTTGCTTCTTACTTGTCATGTGAATAAAACCAACATTTAGAGGCTGTCCCCTAACCATCCACCATCTTCGTTTTCATCAATCATATTTTATCTGGGCACCATGGACATAACTCCGAATCATGAAAGAAGTAAAACACCTCATTCATTCTTTATTCTATTTTTCCTGATTTCATCTTATAGTGATTTGGAGTTACAGAATTCTGAAGACTCCAAATTGTGGAGTAATTTGGACGCTTCATAACAAGTAGGGGTGTCAATAGTATATCAATATCACTGAAGAGGAATATCACAGCACAGCAAGTGAAAAATAATGACAAGTGTTCTAAAATTGGCTAGAATATCTGGGGAGAATGCAATGTAAAGACAATGGACATCAACAAAAATTTAATTGTTGTATAGGTAAAATTTGTCAGTGTAATCTGTTCATTTATTTCTCATTATTAATAAACAAGCAGGGAACTTTGAGCTGCCTGTGGCTTTCCAACCCCATCCCCTATGCTTATAAAAAGACCTTGTTATATAGGGGAAAGTGGTGCTGAATCTTCCCATGCCGATCACCCATTGTTGGTGATTGAGGAGTTAAAAAGGAAGCGAAAAAGAGCAGAGCTCCATACATCCAATCCCCGGGCTATAGAATGGAAGTCTAGTAAAAATCGTGGGGTTATATGGCTAAATGTCCCACCCCAAATATAAGGAGTGAAAGGATGCTCTCTTGCTTCTATCATCATCCTATCAGCTGAATGGGGGCATTTCATTTTCAGATCTAGAGTAGCAGTATTAATATTTGGCATAATAAAAGGTGTTTTAAAAAAAATTAAAGATAATTATTGTAGCGGACCACGGGTAACCCAACTAGTTACCTCCGCTAATTCCTCCTCTCAGCCAGACTGTAACCTTTAAACACTCCAGCATCCATTCCCCCAGTAACTAGACAAAACATAGTTTTGGGACTCAACTGATTTCATTCAGGTCATACACTGCGTTTATGCACTGATCCCTAACATGGGGTCTCCAACACAAAATTACAGGGCTTTCCTTCCCAGGATCCTCTGTGTCTGAGAGATAATTTAGTGAGAAAACTATAACTAGGAACCACACAAAAGTCACTAGGAACCACACAAAAGTTATATCCCCATGTAGCCCTGGTCTGAGTGTAAAACTTGGCCAAGTATCACTCAGATCCGTTCGGCAGAATTGTATCACCACCAGCAGTGATGGAACTACCATGGTCGCAGGGGTTGCAGCTGCGACCAGGCCCGTCACCCAAGGGTCCCGGCCGCCCTGCAGACCCCTGTGGACCCCTGCGACTGTGTGCCCGCCACCATGTCTTGCAGCCCCGGCCGCACGACAGATCTGTCGGGGCCGCACGTTAAGAGGCCCATCAGGTGGCCCATGCTGTTAGCGCCACCCAATGGCTATGGATTTCCAGGGGGCCCGGTCAGCGCTGTGGTGCTTTAACAAGCGTGACCGGGCCCCCTTTGATGAGGTCAGAATGCAGGGAAGAAGTGATCTCTCCTGTCACTTCCTCCCAGCAACCACTGGGAGCCTGCTGGGAAGAAAAGACGAGGCAGTCAGAGTGGGAACTCTAACTCCAATGAGGCTGAACCACCACTGGACCCCGGGGAAGTCACCCTTAATCTAAAAGGTAGGGAACAGTGTTAGTGTATGTGTGTGTCTGTCTGTATATATGGGTGTCTGTGTGTGTCTGTGTGTATGAATGTGTGTCTGTGTGTATGTGTGTGTGTTTGTATGTATGTGTGTGTATGTGTGTGTATATACGTGTCTGTGTGTATGTCTGTGTGTCTTTATGCATGTGTGTGTGTCTGTATGTATGTATGTGTGTCTGTATGTATGGGTCTATGTGTGTGTGTGTGTGTATGTGTGTGTGTATGTGTGTGTATGCGCATCTGTATGTATGTGTGTGTGTTTGTGTGTCTGTATGTATGTGTATTTGTATGCACGCAGGTGTATATATGTATGTATGTATGTGTGTCTACGTGTCTGTGTGTATGTATGTGCGTCTGTATGTATATGTGTGTTTGTGTGTCTGTTTATATGTATGTGTGTTTGTATGTGTGTGTATGTATGTGTGTGTCTACATGACAGTGTGTGTGTAATGTGTCTGTCTATGTGTGTGTCATATCAGACAAACCACATAATACTTGCTCCTCTGCCACCTTTGCCAGCCCTGCACCGTACTTATGAAATTACATATTAAGACGTTTATTGTCCAAATCAAATTTCTATCTGTTCCTTTTTGCTTTTCTGATTGCAACAAGTTGTATAACAATTCAAAGTAAGTATTACATCTTAAGTGCATGCCCACAATGTATACTTATAATGGCAGTCAAGATTAACCAAGGAAATTTACAAGATAAAAAATAAACAAAAAATAGTGCTTTCTGTATATTAATTAAACCACATATAGCAACAAATAGGATAAAACTCACAAGATTTATACCCATATCAAATCATATGCTGGTTAAATCTCAATTTCTCTTCTAGTCAAATGTTCTTATTTCATTGTGGCTATTATCTGCTTATGGAAAAGTCTAAGCAGATTCCATCACTAATTCTATGGTTAATCTTGATTTAACCCTTGGCAATGCAGAACAATAGTGATTCAGTTTGTTCTTCTAAAAAAAGCAAGTTGCTTTTAATACACTGGCTTCCATGAAGGTGGTCAGACCATATTATATATAATAGTTTGGGTATGTGTAAAATTACTCAAAATACAGATATTTCTTCTTTTCTTCCATATTTGCTAACGTATATATCTAAAAAAAGGAATACAGGATCTTGAAGACCTGGGCGTTTTCTG